CACGGCCCCCCAAGGGCTTCCGCTGTCGGCTCCAGAGAGTAAAGAAAAAGGGGAAGCAGTGGACAGGGAGGCCGTGTCTGCGTGCTTTTGTGAAAAGCAGGGAGTTTGGGTTCCCTGTGACTGCACGCCCTGTTCTGCTGGTGGAAGTTGATGGGGCCTTTGCATGCTGGTGGGTGTTTGCAGGATGGGGTGCACCCCTGGTCTGCCCCGCTGGTCCCTGGTTGGTGGCCCCAAGGTGGATGGGGATGGGGGGGGGGGTGGAGTGAGAGCGGGAAAACTTCCTTCCCAGCCCAAGCAGGGACTTGGGCTCTGATCTTGGATCTGGATCTGGGATCTTGGATCAGGGGGATCCAGAAGTCTGTGCACAAAGAGGGAAGCACACAAACGCTGAGCGGGGAGCAGTGAGAAGGGGCCACCCATGGGGCTGCACTTCCCCATTCTGTCCAGACTTGGTGCAAACCTGCACCTCCAAACCTGCTGCTATGAACGGTACTGAAACAACGCTGACTTTCTCAAAACCCACCGGTTTCTGCTTCCAGCATCATCAGACTTCAGCCCAGATTTGCCTCCCTACCCCCCGGGGAACGATATTGCCCTGCTGCAACCACAAGTCTCACTGCGGTGCAACACTTTGGGCTGGAGCATTCTAAGCGGGTTGCAGCCGGGAAGTGAATTTGGGGAGATGTTTGCAGAGCAGTTTGTTACCTCCAAGCTTTTCCTGGCAGCGGTGGGGGCTTGCAGGGCTCCGTTTCCATCTCCTGGCACTGCTGGGGGCTCTGTGAACACTCCCAAACCCCATCCTGTGCTCCCCCCGTGCTGGCCATGGCCTCTACGTGCAGGAAGAGATGCTTTCAAAACACATTCACCAATGTCACGGTGAGCTTAAAGGAAGCTTGAGGCTCAGCGTTGCTCCCCACGCCACCCCGGGGTGCTCCAGGGGCACCGATTGCACTCAGCAGTGCACGCTGACTGCTGCAGGTTGTTGCAATGGGTTTGCTTCACCCCTGCTGCTGCTCAGATATACTTCATGCTCCTCCTCCTGGGTGCTGGCTGGATGGCAGGGGGGGATGCTGCTGGAAATCCTTCTGAAAGCACCCTGAATTCCCTGCTCTCAGCAACACAACATCAGATGTATCAGGGAGATGGAGTTTTTTGTTTTCTACGGCATTTTTTTTTTTTGGGTCTGGGTTTTCCCGCAGCCATTGCATATCAGGAAATCCCTTCCCTCCCCCTTTGTCCTCAGGGCTGTATTAACACTCTAAAACATCAGATTTGAGCTGTTTTGTGGCCCAGCTGTAGGCAAATCTCTGGAATTTCACCTGGGAGCATCGAGGCTGCAGGGTGAGCAGATGTGGGTTTGCAGAGAGGAAAGGTAACAGGTTTTGTGTTAGAAAAAGGGAAGGGAAAGGGGAAGGGGAAGGAGAGGGGAAAGGGAAAGAGGAAAGAAAGGGAAGGTAAAGTAAGGTATGGGAAGG